CTAATGATTCAAAAGTTCAAGATTAACAAGAAACGCCTCGTTCAAAGGTCGTTTGATCGTACGACTCCACACTACTAATTGGTCAATGCTGAAGAGGCGCTCTTTCAAGATACACTTCGAAGCTTGCGGTGGGGACTCCGCGATGAGAGTGGTTCACAAGAGCAAATTACAATTGAAGGCAATGTAAAACAATTAAAATATCTGCTTGAACAAAAGAGTAGGACATATATAAACGTTAATAAGTGAAAACGTAACTAATGTTTTTAATAAAGTGTTTTTCTTTTTTTTTTTTTAATTGACAAAGTGGCAAACGAGCTGGCGTTTCACCTGATGTTAAGTGATAACCGCCGCCCATGGACATTTGCAACACCTGTAGGGTTGCAGAAGTGCCCCCACCTTTAACTAAAGTGGGCCCCGGCTACCTCACTCACCAGATGAACGTAGAGTGAAGTATAGCACAGTGTAACACTTCTACTTAGGGCCGGTCTTCTGTGAGGTTGTGGTACTTACCCGGACTGACCTGCCCATTCCTGCAACAGTTGCGTGACCCTACTACAGTTAAATTTTCTTGATCATCTTCAGGTCATTTTGTCACCAAATACCATGATACGATGGTTCGTTTATTACCTCCATACACATTGCTTGACACCTTTTATAAATAGTGATTTTAGTTAATACCCTACCTATTAACTAAATCACTGTTTATGAATAAAAAAAAATTGGAGAGAACAAAATAACTGAAAACTGCTACATTTTAATACGACAGCTGTTAATAAAAAACCTTTACCTGCTATATAAATCTATTTCTCTGCTTTATATAAATACTATATTCAAAGAGGAGGTACTTTCCTTTGTTGTCACCTGAAGTAATGAAATTATATAACACCGTTTGCTTACCAAAATTTTGAGAGTATTAATGCCTTGTAACAAAAATGGGTAAAACTAAACATCAGAGCCGGGAATTAAATCAAATTAAAACAAAGAAAAATCACGAATGAAATAATCAACAAGCAGAATTCTCCGATTGCTTATATTTTTTGAGAAAAAAAAATTTTAAACTTGTTATTTTCACCAAAGAAATCCGCCATTTTAGTATCGATCGCCATCACTTATTATCGAGCAAAAAAATTGAATTGATTAAACAAGATTTTGTAAATGTAGTCCACTTCCGAATTAAAGTAACGATACGAGTACATCCAACGCAACGACTCAAAACGATGACATTTTGAATATACTTAAGCATATTTGATTTCTATATACTATTAGAATATTTTATATAATTACAAATAATGTTAGAAAGTCGTCATAAATTGAATCCTAAAAATAAATTGGCGAATAAGAAATGTTACAAAATATTATCCCTCATTAGTCCTTTGTATGGATGTTGCTTATGATTTTATAACATCTTAATAGATTCCTCATCGATATTGTTCTGCAAACAACAACTCAGTTAAGACGCCTCGTCGTGATCTATCGTGGAGAAACAATGGAGGCGTCGGAAAGTTCGCTCGAGTAATTTCAGTTTGTATGTGACTTGACAGCGGGGAAAAAGTTCCTTGGGCGTCGAGCCCTAATGCACCGTTTGGGCGACTGTGGCACCCCACTTTTAGGGAGACACAAATTGACAGAAACAGCACAACACCATAAAGTTCTGTTGCGAGTTATAGCAGGTGGCAAAGAAGAGAGTTTTGTTGGGTAAACAATTCTTCGTTTTTTAGTTGATAATAATAATAATAAAATATCTTTATTCACATAGACGCTTGCGCGTTCTTATGAAACGTCAAAATTTTACAAGAAATTAACACGTTCGTAAGTTACCACCGGTTCGGAAAGCAGTTTCGGTTGAGAAGAAACCGGCAAGAAACTCAACAGTTGCTCTTTTTAAAAAAATCAGTTTACAATATAATAGCACAAGTACAATAGTCTTGTTTAAGCCTACGTGAGTATCAACAGTATTAACCCCACACATTGGCATTGTCAAGATATTCGGCAATAGAATAATAGGCTTTAGCCATAAGTTTACTTTTAATTTTTCGTTTAAATTCATCAAGTGGCAGACTTAATATCGACTGTGGGATTTTATTATACATGCGCACACCTTGCCCCATGAACGACCTGTTTACTTTTTTTAGACGAAACAATGGCGTAGTTAGTTTGTCCTTATTTCTAGTATTTAGTTTATGTCTGTCACTATTCTTTAGATAACTATTAATATTAGTTTTAACATACAAAATATTACAATAAATATATTGAGACGCAACAGTGAGTATATTAATCTCTTTAAAAAGGTCTCTGAGTGTATTCCGGGCTCCGATGTTATAGATTGCTCGGACAGCTCTTTTTTTTTAAATAAATATAGAATTTATATCAGATGCACTACCCCACAACAAAATGCCGTAAGACAAGATGCTGTGGAAATAACTGAAATAAACAAGTCTGGCAGTGTCGATGTCTGATAGCTGCCTAACCTTCCTAATTGCAAAAACAGCGGAGCTTAACCTGTTCGCAAGAGATGATAGATGGGGACTCCATTGGAGCTTTGAATCCACTGTAATTCCCAAGAATACAGCGGACTCAACAGGATTAAGGGTTAAGCTATTTAATGTTAAGCTAAAACTTCGCCTTCTTACGCTGGGAAGGGTAAAAAGAAGGCATTTAGTTTTTTTAGCATTTAACACTATATTATTAACGGTAAACCAGTGGAGGATACGCGAAAGTGCACTATTCACGTCGTCATAATCCGACACGTTTCGGTCAACCTTAAAAATGAGCGATGTGTCGTCAGCAAACAGTACAACATCACATAACTCACTGGCATAAAAGGGGAGATTATTTATATACACTAAGAATAATAATGGACCCAAGATTGATCCTTGTGGGACACCCATTTTCATGGGGGACCCTGTGGAATTTACATCATTTATAGATACTTTTTGAATTCTATTACTAAGGTAAGAGGCAATGAGATTGAGGGCGATGTCACGAATGCCATAATAATCTAACTTTTGAAGGAGGGTTTCGTGGTCTACACAGTCGAAATCCTTTGAAAGGTCGCAAAAGACACCTATTGCATCTTGTGACCTTTCCCAGGCGTTATAAATATGCTTGACAAGTGCGACACCCGCATCCGTTGTCGATCTGCCTTTAGTGAATCCGTATTGCTCCTTGTGGAAAATTTTGTTCATATTAAAATGTACTAAGAGTTGATTTAAAATTAGTTTTTCAAAAATTTTACTCGGAGATGGCAATATGGAGATAGGTCTGTAATTTCCTGGATCATTTTTATCCCCATTTTTGAAAACGGTGATTATCTTACTGAATTTCATAAGATCTGGAAATATTCCAGAATCTATACATTTGTTAAAAATATTTGCCAAATATGGTGCAATATACGGCATTATTGTACTCATTAATTTTATGGACATGCCCCACAAATCTCCTGTATTTTTAAGATTAATAGAATTCAAAACTTTTATAATATCATTAGTATCTATGTGATTAAATTTAAACGTTTGTCGACAATAGGTAACATTGATTTGATGCTTGTCATTATCAATGTTTAAGTTAATCGTCTTCGATTGATACTCGTATAAAGTGTATAGAGGAACTATCACTTTCTTCGGTCACTGTTTCGATCTTCAATCGAGATGTAAAAGATCGGTAATATGATATAAATGTTATGAGTGCTTATGTTTGATGTATATTTAAACAAAATAAAACCTATGAAGATCGTTGTATGTAGGTACCTATGTGGATTTTATTTGCTTTGAGATTTATAGTAAACGCTGTCATAAGGTCTATAATTATGATATTTTTCAAGCAAGTAAAAGATGGCGGTAAAGGATTGTAATGTCAGTGGTAACGCAGACATAAAAACCGAATGACTGTTAAGTGAATCGGATATGAAACTAAATTACTAGTAACATTTTACGACGCGCGACAAAAACAAATCCGCTTTAGGTTTGATCCGAGCACATGTATTAATAAAGCAGCGACGAAGTCGCAAGTCGACAGCTCGATTCAATTCAACAATACCGTACCTGGAAAATTGGAAAGCAGTCGCGAAAACTTGTGGAAACTTTCCGGGAAGTTCGTGTGTCATTTTAACATACGTTTCCCGGAGAGGCGAAAGCGCAACGTAAACAATTCCAGATGTTCCGTTCCTGGTTGAATATTATTTGGCGTCGAGGCGGATGGCGGCGTGTGGCCCTTATTAAAACTTGGGCGGCGCCACTCGAGGAATTGGACATTTGCATGGGAACATGTGCGGTATCAATTCTTGGAGTTTCGAGTGAAATGCGCGTCAAGTTTGTTTTGAGCTTTACTTTGTTGAGAAATATCCGAATGAAATATCTAAACTACAGGTTATAAGTATATAAATAATCCGCGATACAAAATAGTCATTATTAAACTGTCGGGAGTGATCGTATAGTATATTATGTCGGAGTGACTAGCGTGCTCCAGTGGTTTTGAATACATTTGTGCCTAATGTACGGTGACGAAACTAAGCGTTTGTCACATTGTTGGACTGAATAAATTCGGTAAAGCGAAGATATGCATTTGCTGCACGCATTTGCTTTACCTAACTACTCATATATTTTGAAGCCAAACGTATTATCCTTGTTAAGAAGATCGAAAGCTACGATATATTAAAATGATCAATTTCAAAATAAATCTGATATATTTTCACGAAATACCAACAGCTGCCATCTAGTAAATATAAGTACAAATGTCTAGACGACGCAGTTTTGCCTGAATAAATTCATTGCTTTTTGAATGGTGCAAGAACTTTTCAAGAGATGGCGCATCTACGAAAATATATTAGCGCCACCTAGCAAGGGCTTCCAAACACTTCCTTCCGTACGAATAAATATTGCGATCAGCGCCATCTATGCTTTGCCTTTCACAACTTTCAAACGATAATTGCTATAGTTGATAAAAGATAAACATGGTGTAATTTATTTAAACTGTATGGTATGTTTACTAAAATACTAGTATCACCCTACCTTGAGCAGATGAGGATCACGCTCAGCCGCGTCCAGCAACGATTCAGCTTCACTCAGCCAGGCCACGAACCTCTCCAGAGAACGGTCGAAGTTCTGCAGCGACGACACCGCTGAATGCAAAGCTTTTCCACGAGCCACAATACTGCGGACAAACGCATTTATTAATTATAATTATATCTTAAATAAATGAAGGGATGAGTTTTAACATTTTGTTGGTAAATAAAATCCTAAACTCAAACATTGGACTTTTGAATATTTGATACGGACTCGGGGATACACTTCGGTATTTTATTTTATGATAATATATTTTTAGTATATTGTTCATCTACTTTAAAAGAATATAATTACAATAATATAATAAAGTCTAAATCATAATTAGGCTAGCTGACTGAGAACTTTTGCATTGAGTTAAGCTTATCTTTTGTACATAACTTACCTTTTTTTAACTTTTTGTATCTTATGTTTTGTGTACAAAAAATATAATACCTAAATAAATTATAAAAAAAAATGTTTAAGCATAAAGTGTATCCACTCACTCACATGACTCTTTTTATAAGAAAGATATATTATGAAAAATTATAACAGAGCTTATATTATTATATATTTGTACAAGTATTATATTTTAAGCGAAAGGTTATATACTATTTTAAGCGAAAGGCAAATGGAATTGATGAAACTATTTCGAAATATAAATTTTACGCAGTACGACAGATTTAAAAGAGGTGGCGTTGTTGTCACTACAATTTTGTATTTATATTGACTTCTGGTAATAGATGGCGCTTTTACGTATCCAACATTTAATACACATAAAAATTACAATGTTAATCATAGATGACAACAACGGTGGCCTTATTAAAATACATTTTCGATATTTTTAGTACTAAAAATATCGAAAATGTATTTTAATACTACTTAAACATGTTAGCTTATAAAAACAAATATAGCTAATATAGATAAAATAACAAATATTGAGCACACTATATTTTTTCTTATATTGACGCGGACACTGTACATTATCAAATGAAACCATTAAATTTAAATTTGATTTTTTTTCACTAGTTTTTTTATTTTATTAAAGATAAATTGTAAACCAGTTAAATTAAGGGTGTACGTTTTAAGGGTGTACATTGGTGTAAATAAGAACCGTCCGAATACTTAACGGTCACGGAGTGTAATTGTTTATTTGATATCCTAATGATAGGATCTTCTAATAATGTGCGCAGATTTGGAATTGGTTTTATTATTTACTGGATTCTGCGCCTTTAAAGGTTTTGGGAAAATTTAATCAAAATTGAACATGTCAAAAATCTCAAAGCAGTATTTAATATTGTTGAAACAGTTTCGTTCCACTGTCTTTTTTACACATCTCTTGAGACCGGAATGACTGTTAAGTGAAGCAATGAATTCGACGCTCCCGGAAAAAGGACGGCTAATTCTTGATAATGCTTTTGTTTATAGCCCAAGAGCGGCACAATTTCTTCACTGAACGACGTAAATTTCCCTTTCTTTTAAAACAAAAGACGTTAAAGCCGACTTGTTCGTATAAAATTTAAAAAAAGAACGTAATTTTGTACGGCATTACGTCATGCGAATTCACAGTCCCGCGTTTTTATGACTTAGTGACCGGAATAATTAATTTATTAAATTTACAGTATTGCGAGGTGAGAACAATACGTGTGCATTGGAAAGACAATTTTTTCCGTGTTCTAGACGTCCTTGGGTCGCGGTTGTAAAAAAGGCCACCAACTCTTCTGCCACCTTCTTACACAGAACACTACTGTGGTAGGGCCATGCAGTCGTCGCTGTTGCACGAATGGGTAAATTCATCCGAGGGAGTACCACCCCACAGAAGAGTGGAAGTGTCATACTTCTACGTCACTTCCGGTGAGTGTGCTAACTGGGGCCGACTTTATCGAAAGGCAGCAAGTAAGCCCACGCATTTATAAACCTACGGGTGTTGTTAATGTCCATGAGCGACGGTTATCACTTAACATCGGGTAAACCGCCAACTGTATCGCCGCCTGTAAATGTTCGTCACATATGCAATTTACTATGTCATAAGTTTCATCTTTTTAATGTCAAACGTGATATGTGGACGTACGTCGGTGAAACCTTTTAAATAAATAAATAAATAAATAAACTCCCGCCGCCTTCTAGCGTAGAAGAAAGCCGGTCACCTGTTGTTGAGCTCGTTGTAGCGGTGGTTGATGGATTCGGTGGCGCGTTTGATGCGCGTCGTGTCGTCGTTGCGGTAGACGGCGATCAGCCGCTGCGTCAGCTGGCCGAACAGCTCGATCTGGTGCTTGTACTGGTGCACCTCCGCGTGGAACGACTGCGCCGAAAGGGATGTCCACGCGATTATCGGCAATGCTGGCGCAATTGGTTTCGGCTGAGGACGCCAAGCGAATGCGCCAAACGAGGGGTACATTTCGAAGGTTGATTGGCAAGTATGACGCTAACGCCCGGTTTCTGCAGCACTGACCATCGTAGAAGTTGACTAATCAGCTGTCAAATGGTCTTTAAAATGTCATTTTGCCAAAAAGACGGTTAAATTGTTTGATCATTAAGAAGATCATTCTGATTAATTCAGAGTTTAAACATAATTTAGGCTTTATGATCAGTGTTTCAAAAACCGGGCGTAAATCTCGGGTATGATACTCGGAGAATTAGGGTGGAATCATTCGTTTTGATTGTAACACTCTCATTACTATTGATATTATAATCTGGAGAACTTTCTTCGTACGTGTATATTTTACCAAGTAGATTTATACAGTGTATTTTCCTACATGATTCCAACTATTACTGTATGATAGTTTCGACAAAATGAATTCATAACGAGTAGTTACATAAATTATTTACATATTTACTATGAATAAATGTACAAAAAAAGTTAATTCTGTTCCAAGTTCAGTTCAACAGAAACATATGATTAACTACATATTATTTTGTCAAGAAACTCGAGAATTACATAGGGAAAGTCACAGCCGCTTTATTCAATCGTGTCTTGAGAGTAATTGGAAGAGACTGTGATTGACATATTTGCCGAAAGAAATAACTTTACGGTTACATCGTGTTACGTACTCGTAGAAGAAAAATTGAATTTCGGTCTACAATATCGTAATAATTGGCATTTTGAGCTGAAATTTACAGAGAATGTTAATGTTCAATTATCAATAGATGGATGTTAAGCACCCTAGTTTACATGAAAAAAAGAAATTAAATGGAAAAAAAGCACGTCCAGGGCCACGGAGCAGCCTTGGCTGCTGCACAAATGGGCAGGCTCGTCCGGGTAAGTACCACAACCTCACAGAAGACCGGCATAAAGTGGAAGTATAATGGTTTCGCGTTTCATCTGGAGAGTGAGGTGGCCGGCGCCCAATTTTCAAAAGGTTTTCAACGCATCTGTAACCCTCGGGTGTTGCAGATGTCCATGAGCGGCGGTATTCACTTAATATCAGGTGAACCGCCTGCTCGCTTGGTAACTTTTCACATATAAAAGGTGCTTAATAGTTTTTATTTTTATTTAATTAAATCGCTCTTACTTCGTACGAAGAACATTTTTATTGTCTTCTAAAATAAACCGTCCATCTCTCCTGTCTCCAGTTCAATTATACTGGGTCAAAGTAACCCGTTAAAACTTGTTCAGAATCATCAAACCTAATAACGTGCGCTGCTTTACGACTGTTGCTACAAAGCAGAGGAAAACATTAAATCCTCAAAGGAAATATCAAAGTTGAAATGAACTGCGTCTAGCTCATGTATTTGCTACTAGGAAAGGCGACCAGCGTATAAAGAAACTGACTGAGTAAATATGGCAATACAAAACAACGCAGACGAAAATCGCTGGTGATAGGAACCCGAAATTTTGTCAGTAACTTTTATGGATTAGGATATTTGAAAGATTCCAGTCCGGCGTTTGCACGTATTACGTTCAGAAATGCAGGTGTAGAGTCGTGAGTATATCCTAGCTCATTATAGGGGTGGCGAACTCGAGGAATTCAGCGAGTACCGCTTTCATTAATTATCACGGTCGCCTCTAGATCGGGTCATTAAGGCGCTAGTGTTTTAAGGTGACATAATAAATGGGAACAATTATGCGAATGGGGGCGTTTTCAGCTGTTGTACTATGCGCAGGGCTGCCACAAATGAATCTTTGAAAATCTGTATTATTCTGCGTACCAGCGGATTTTTAAAAGTAAATTGCCAATCCTGACATGTATAACAGCAGACTGCTCTATGGTCGTAATGATAATTGCTAAAAGATCAAAAAACAGGTAAAGCTTTTAAGGTTGTACACAACGATATATCGTTTAAATATGCTATCTTTACCTTTGTTTTAGTATACAGTTATTTTAATAAAATTATTTACAACAAAAATTACCATTTTTAAAATTCCTTTAGTTTCGTTATATGCGTTTGCCAACCCTACCTAAAGTAGGGCGCTCACGGACGAGAATTAAACAGAAGAAATTAAGCGAACGCCGCGACTGGAGATCCAGCAACGCTCGGGTTTGAATTAAAACGAGCTGAATTCGCAAATTGAAACTAAACATTATCACTTGAGAGCTCTTTCGGTATTTTGTTTGCATATATTTAGTGGGACGGAGTTTCATTATTGTTTTAACACGTGCAAGGGAAACATAAAACGGAACAACAGTTAGTAACATAAATATATTGGTGATAGTAAATAAAAATTTCCGAACTTCGACGCCAAGAGATGCACAAACCAATATAACCAAGTAAAATATGAAATCTTACATAGAAATACCTTTCTCAACGGAAATGTCAAAACTGCCTCAACTGTCATGCGTTACAGTAGTTTCTTTTGGAGAAATACCTATACCACACCACATCGTTAAACGTCAAACCACATCGTTTTATTACCGGACACTTTTTCTGGCTGAATGTCATACTGATGTCCCATAATAGATAGATAAGCTACTTTCAAAGAAAACTTTTTACTGTCGGATCAGAACTTAAATGCAGCAAATACTTTATAAAAATAATACTTCCGCTCTAGTTAATAACTCCTCCAAGATTCGAAAAATATACTTTGCTATTGATTATATTTTCCTAAGAAGGTAGATTGAAAAGGAAGTCTGGGAAAGGGAGGACGAGAGCAGGTATAAAGGAAGAATAAGAATTGTACGAGGGCAGAGTGTCTTGGATTTTAAGTACGGGAGTAGAAGATATTGTGGACGATCAATAAATATCTGTGAATAAATGAAGCCTTGTGTGTTACTTAAATTACCTATATTGGAGAATATTCCTACAGTATTGAATCATACATATTATCGGAAAGTAAACTGCTTATCTACGGGCCCCGTACTCACATAACTGAACACGATCCTTATGAATCATGCTTGTTACTGATCAGCCGTAAACCAACTGCTTATTAGAACCGTGGTTTAAGTTTATTTTAAATCAAATACGTAATCTGTCCGATGGTTAAGCGTATTGAATCATGTATTGAATTATTTTAAATGTCGTAGGGCCACGCAGCAGCCTTGGATGTTGCACGAATGGGCGGGCTCGTCCGGGTAAGTACCACGATCTCACAGAAGACCGGCGCAAAGTGGAAGTATAATTTCGCGTTTCGTCTAGTGAGTCATGTGGCGGAGCCGAATTTTCAAAAGGATGTCAACGCATCTGCAAACCCTCGGGTGCTGCAGATGTTCATGGGCGGCGGTATTCACTTAACATCAGGTGAACCGCCCGCTCGCTTCAACGGGAATTCAAACAATAAAAATGTATTGTTTGAATTCCTGTTGATGTAATAAGCAATTGCTCATCTAAGTCAAGTAAGCTGTGCACAATCCTTAGGATCTAGGGAAGACATGCTTGACGCAGTAGGTACCTTCTGTTCCCTGAGCTGCATCTCGAGCACGTCGGCAGTGTGCCCGGGCGGCGTCATGGCGGCCAGGCGCGTCTCCATCCGCGTCAGCCACGCGTCCGCATCGCGCCGCCTCGCTTCGTATCGCTGCGAGTCGCCGAGCATCGCGTCCAGCTGCGCCTTGCGCTGCAGCACGCGCGCGTTCGCCTCATCCCAGTGCTCCCGGAGGGCGGTCACTGGAAACGCATACACTGCTTAGATCGTCTCATGTAAAACTTCTTTATCTGTCTTCATTATAAACTTACTAGCGATCCGCCCCCGCTTCGGACGGGTGCAATTTATTATACATATAAACCTTCCTCTTGGATCATTCTATCTAGAATACCCGTTGCGTAGTAGTAGTTTTAAAGATCTAAGCATAAATAGGGACAGACAGACAACGGGATAACTTTGTTCTATACTATGTGAAGTAATAGTGAAGAAATCAATACGTTTTTCCATTGTGTGTGTGTGTGTGTGTGCAATACACAGAAGTTAATGTTATAATTGACGGCATTATTGATAATAATTTTTATAGTACTTAATTGCAGAGAGCGCTGTAATTTTATGTGGAAATTTTCCACTTACTTGCATCGCTGACTAACCAAATTAACTCATTTATACCGCTTACAAAATGAAATATCCACAAATTTGTAGCATTAAGTGCTCGGTTAAAAATAATTTAATTATTGAAACGGTGTGTTTATTCACAAGAAAAATGTGACGGATTGTGGTAATTTGCAGATATTTTATTATGTACAGAAGATGTATCAGTAGAAGTAAGATATTTTTTTAATTAAAATTCAATGTTGACTTTTAAATAGAAAGAAGATATTAAAAATGTTCTCGCAATAAAGCACATTATGTCCTAAAAAGTGTCAAGTGATTTAAAAACTCGAGTGAAATTTAAACAACTTTTATGTGCTGTTCTATATCAAAGTCTAATTAAAAAGTACAAATAGAACAGGGCTTCATGAGGACACAAGTACGTCTCCCGTTTAATTAATTCCCAAAAGTGCTGGAAGGTTCGCAGCCGCCATCGTTCCCGACATTCCGTTATATGGAAATGAGTGTTATTTGCATACACGGTTACATGAAATGATTCTAACCACATTCAACAAGCATATTAAATTACAACATATAATAATATTCTATTTTGTTCCTCGGAACGGCCGTTTATATGTGGATACGTTTGTTCTCGATAATTCACACACCACACGACCTTTCCATGCTTATCAATATTTATTATAGTTTGTTATAGTATATTGAAATTATCATGATCATTGGGACGGTTTAGGTTAACATTACGTGCACAAATTATATTATAGAATTAGGAAGAACCCAACCTCCACCCGGATATCGACCAACTCCGAACAGTATGCAACCCACTTGTCGCGTTAGCCGCCAATAGTTTAGCAACTACACCTATCGCGGCGTCATCGTAATTTAATCATTTACTAATTGTATATAGGTACAAAAAACATGGTTGGATGCCACTGTTGTAATCGGATAGAAAACATCAATTTCTTACTGTGGTAGGGCCACGCTGCAATGGTGCAGATGTTTGTTCCCAAGGAACGTCAACGTTTCTTGGGAAGAATTATTGCTTGTCCCGGGTGGGAGTCAAACCTATGACCCCCCGCAACTAACAAATGGCGCTAATGCGCCATCGAGCCTTTAAAACATACACTGTTGTTATGTTTGGGAATTAGTCTTTTAATCTTTATATATTATTCTCTACTAGTTGCTGAAGGCGTAACATTTAGACAGATTGGCGTATATACATAAAAATATGCATATAAATTATAGCCTATCTTTTATTCTGATGTATAAGCTATATTATTGTAAAGTTTTATTAAAATTCATTCAGTAGTATTTGCGTGAAAGAGTAACAAACATCTATCCATACATACAAACTTTTGCCTTTATAATATTAGTAAGGATGTGTCCCACTCGGGATTACAGTTGTGGCAATATACCTAAGCCCGCCAATCCCCTATTCAGTTATACATAGCTTTTCACATTCTAATGATTACTTAATAAGCGATTTCCACAAACAGATCCACAAGCCTCGGTAACATATCCCTAATTGCCTATGGAACTAGATATAATAAAAAAACAGAAAGAACGTTGCTTACAAGGTTCTCCCCAACTATGATCTTCTTTTGGATCGTAGCTGTAGGCTCAGGGCTATGTAAATTTTGTAGTTCTCTCCGGGGAGTAAGCTTAGTGTCGACTCCCTTTAACTCGTGACCCCGCCGTGTTAAACAATCCGTAGATGATGCTATACAATCCTATTTTATTTTACCGACCATTAAATAGAAAAAGAGGCAAGAATCTTTGTGATTATGTTTATATTTTGTATAATTAATTTAACCGTAGGTCACAATAGAGTAAACATCACTGACAGAGTCAGCAGTAGTAAAAACATGAATTGCATCTTGACCCTTTACAATAATTATTATTTTATTTTATTCTTTCTTATCTTGTTTTCTTAAGTTGAATTGACTGTCCAGGAAACGGAACAGTTAATTCACCTTAAGAATCAATTATTCAGAATAGTTTGTACTAGTTAAAGCGTAGGCACTATTACACCATTTCATCTAGAGATCTCGGCGCGATATAGGAAATCGTTAGTGGGTGGGTACACGGCTTTAAATAAATATGACATTACGTTTATATTTTATCTTATCTTCTGAAAACAATAACACGAAATGATTCACCCTCTACTAACTTTGATAATTAAGATTGATCGAGAAACCGTCGAAAGGTAGAATAATTTCCAATGGATAAAATTGATACGACGAGAAAAAGCCTGCGAGGTGGACGCTTGAAATATTCACGTCCCCCAGCTAACACAATCTGTTACGTGTCACATTAAGTCCAGGGCAGCTGACGGAGGCTGGTGGGACAGTGAGAGCGAATTGAACGGCAAATATGTTTCAGTTATCATAAATACGACCTTGAATATAAAATTATGCGACGACAGACAACATTAATTTCTTAGCAAGCATTATTAATTTCAGGTCCTGTAGTATGTAAAAAAATCAATAAAATTCCCTCCAGGTGTTGACCCGCCCTTACGCAAACATGTCAAAGCGACACACCCATATCCCGGTAAACGAGTAACCGTGGTCCGAGCCCCGGGCGCCGCGGCGACGTGAGATGAGCTCGGCGTGTAAAGTACTATTCACACCAACATGCGATTGTTCGTGAATGCCAAACGAATCTAATCGCGTTCGGGCGAATGCTGGTTTTTGTATTTATCGCTTTATATTTTCCGAGGCGTCATGTTCTAATGTCGGAAAGATGCAACAGTTGAAACGTCCTCATAGCGAACGCATCGACAACTACAGGACCCTCGTGAATTCGGTCGCAAGGATATGATCCCAAAAATATATGAACCCGAATCCGAAGCAGTGCGAAGGTCGCGTCCTGCCTCCCTGGAGGTTTTAGAAATATACACTTAGTCTCCGAACAAAAATGAATAGAACACAACGTCAATGACATTTAAGGAATTATTCATAACAATGCTCTACTGTCAGTCGAAAACAGCTCCATTTGTGAATCACAGAATATTTTTATGTAATATTCTGTGATTCAAATAAAATGAAGTAACATACTTAACCATCGAGCCATCCATGCAGACTACAACTGTAGTAGCGTACGAATGACACGATACGGTTAAGGGTGCAAGTAAAAAAAAAAAATTATAAAAAAAATTGTACTTGTAAATTACTAATGCTGTCTTATTATAGCATGTACACAATCTATTTTTTTAGATTTTAAAACTTGTACCGCACTATAATATACGTTCCAACGCGTAAGTCAGAAGTTTTAATTGGGACATGGCTATAAATAAATATAAATAAATATTTGATTTCAAGTTCCTGAGCCTTTGGCGTGAATCGTACTCAAGATAAAGATTTACTTTGAAGCCATTGTGGAACAACGTGAGAGAAAAGGTACCGCGCATGAAATCGGTTAAGGGCATCCCGCGACGCCTCTTCCAGCATCCGAATCTTACTTGTGTCGGACCCTTTTCGGTCGAAAATAATTGTTTGCCGGGATGTGAAAATGTACGTCAGCTGCGGAAAGTAACAAGCCCAGGAAAAGCGATTCCGCTTTTCTGTCTCTCTCATATACGTGATTCGGAATGGCGAGCGAACTTTTGTGACATTTCAGCTGACGATATCATTTTATTTTTGCCAAAATATTTCTTTAATTTATATGAAAGATGAATGATGAGGACCCTTTTCGGTCGAAAATAATTGTTTGCCGGGATGTGAAAATGTACGTCAGCTGCGGAAAGTAACAAGCCCAGGAAAAGCGATTCCGCTTTTCTGTCTCTCTCATATACGTGATTCGGAATGGCGAGCAAACTTTTGTGACATTTCAGCTGACGATATCATTTTATTTTTGCCAAAATATTTCTTTAATTTATATGAAAGATGAATGATTATTTACCTTTTACCTGTGGTAGGAATACGCAACAATATTCGCTGTTGCACTAATGGGCAGGTCCGTCCGGGTTAGTACCACGACCTCACAGAAGACCGGCGCGCGTAAAGTAGAAGTATTACATTTCTGCGTTTCGTATGGTGAGTGAGGTAGCCGGAGCCCACATTATTAAAAGGTGGCAACACATCTGCAACCGGTGTTGCAAATCTCCGTGTGCGGCGGTTATCACTTAACATCATTTGCCACTTTCTCACATAAAAGATGCCCATAGCGCACCTAGGTGGGGTCGGTATGTAGGCTAATCATGGTGGTAAAACGGGACCCTATTACTAAGACTCCGCTGTCAGTCTGTCTGTCTGTCCCTTTGCCACCAGGCTCTACCTCATGAACCGTGAAAGTTAAACAGTTGCAATGTTCACATATGATGTATTTCTGTTGCCTCTATAACAACAAATACAAAAAAAAAAACACCCTGTACCACAGACATGTTTTTTTTTTTTTTTCATTTTTATAGATAATGGTACGGGACCGTTCGTGCGCTAGTCCGTAGTTTTTACGACCTACCGCCTGCCTGACGCCCGCCTTGAGATACAAATACCCATATCCGGAACAATTATCTGTAGGTTACACAATTACTTGTCGGTCTTGTACGAAACCGAAGCTTAGCACCGGTGCCAACGAGTCATCACTGGGTTCTCTTATAACCACCCGACTGCGCCAGAAGGAGGTTTATTATGTGAAATCATGTATGTATGTATGTATGTATGGATGTGTGTATAATTGTATCGCGCGCTCTGCAGCCTGAACGGCTTGATGGATTTTAGCTTGAGAGGTGTCGTTAGATTCGTATTTACTGTGAGAGTGACACTGGGTATATCAAAATCATTTCCAAATTACACAGAAACACAGTCGGGTTTTTATTAGTTTTTTAAATTATATCTACCTACTTGTTTTATTATTTTTATTCTCATCAACATCATGTACCATACAAATTGAAATTGATTTTTTTTTCTAACAGTACTGTCACTTCATCAATCGATTTCTGATATCTGCTTTCTGATATAACGAATCTGAATCAAATAATAAATAGCATCTGTTATCTATCATCACTGCCAAAGGCGAACAAACTAACAATTTAAATTTGCAACAGATAATTAACCCATTGAATATAAAGCAAACAAGCGAACTCCCGAGTAAACATTGTCGTTCATGTGAGTAAATTTCGAACCCGCGAATCGTTTAACATTAGCGAGCTTCTGGGAATTTTATTCGGAACGAGAAAAGGGGAATGCGCGCCGCTAAATCAAACACGGCGTTATGAATATTATAACATTCAATCGGGGTTAAGTGTGTTCAAGCAATGCCATTCGTGTATATCTCAACGCTGTGGAGTTTCAAATAAAAAATTCATTTTAATCCGGTTAAAGAAGCAGAAATTGGAAGACCGGAGGACTTGGGGACTACTCTTATTAAAACAGAGCATAAAACAACACAGATAGTAAAAATAGTCAATCTACTCGAGCAAACTGAGTTCAAACACCGGGGCCGGCATCAGAGAAAATTTTAATTGCAATTTTAAGTGCTCACCGGTTAGGAAAACAGCGTGAGGAAACTTGCATATTCTCGAAATCATAATAAAATAAAAATACTTTGACGATTTGTGCAGTCCATCAAACCGATCCGATCGCGTGGTGTTCCTACTCCCTAATACGCTCTGTAAAGGGGAAGCATTTGCCCAACAGAGGGTCATACACAGGCTGTACTTTATT